AGAGATCACTTTCTGTACCACACTTTATCCTTCTTTCCAAAACCAACTGTTGATGTTCTCTTTCTATTAACCCAATTTATCAGAATGTGTTCTTTTTCTTCTTTAGCCTGGTCCACACAGGCGACGAACCGTGTAAACTACTGATTTACCGAGTCATTTGCCCGCCGTGTGCCCAGCTCAGTGGACAGGCCTAAATACTTACACCTTTATTGCAGTTGTTTTTGAGGTTGGTTTCGTTTTTTAAAATTGCATTATTTCTGGATGAGTTAGATTTATGTAAATCGTTAATAATTGGGTATCGAGTAAATTAATACTGGAGTTGAACATACTGAAAAAAATTATATTCCACATATATGGACAATATCTGAACCGTTTTTAACAGGCCCCTTGGGTAAAGTTTGTATGTAGGTTATTGGTAAAAGATCATATTCATATATAGAATGTTTATTTTGGTTGTCCACCTAATTTTCTGGTGGAATCCAGTTTTATTTACATATATAATTGTGTAGCTTTGAGCATGCTCTGGAAACTCTTATATGCCAAAACTAAATGCAAACAAGATAATATATTTAAATACAAGTACAGAGTCGCTCCATTTACAACATACTTATTTTGGCCGGTAAGATGTCCTTTAAAACCACATAATAACAGTTTCTACACTTACACTTTAGATATAGATTTCAACAATTTAACACAATTTTCATACACAGTATGAATAAAATCATATGATATTTTTTAATCAAGGTTAATGATACTCAAAGTCATTTCCACTGTACATACTAACTCATATTTTAAGACTGTTGGAGCTCTCCTGCACTATATGAATGAATGACAAAACGCTAACATGGATTTCTTCCTCTGATTAACATCTCCTATGCAAATTTTGTTCTTTAAGAAAATGGATAAGAGAGTCCCCAAAACACTGACTAATGAGATGACAACAGATTTGCTCAAATTTCTAACACCTCTAAGATACCATTCAGAATGAAGTGCTAACGACAGCTATCATTTATCTTACTGAATGGTATACAGTTATGTAAGCTCTCTATATGATATCCTTCTCCATGCTATCATCATCTAACCAAGGAACAGAATATATAACCGTTAAAATGAAAGACTAACATATACCTGTGTTTTCAAAAATACAGTAACAAGTGGCTTGTGCTCTACTGCTTTACGAAAGTGAAATCACAAACTTCAAAGCCAAGACCTGTTTTTCTTGTCATAAACTAATTTCTTCCACTGATACACCTTTGCTTAAAAACTTGGAAATGTCAATACTTTATATAACTCTTGAAAAAATAATTATGTTCCCAAGAAACATTGGCTTTGCTAATTCCAACATAAAACTGCCACTCACACACATATACACACACAAGCATACATGTACTAGAACCACATACATTCAAAATCATAAAATATGGTGCTGACTTTATCTTTTGTAACTAAAAGCACAACTGTTTCAACAACAAATTCAGTACATCGAAAGAACCAGAAAAGTTAATGACAAGTAAATAGTTTTGTAAGCACATGCTACTATATTCTTCATATTCAAAAAGGTAATACATAATGTCCAGGGTATTCCGATATGAAAAAAAGAAAAAGAAAAAAAAAAAAAAAAAAACCTGAGGTGCAATAAAACGGCACAGAAGCCTGAAACAAATCATCGACTGGCATTTCATTAAATATTGTCAAATTACAGCATCTGCCCCAGCAAACAGTTCTTTTTTTAACTCCACAGCATCCACAGTATTCTGACTGTTGTTTTAAGGAGTGTGAGCAACTATGACATTATGAGTCATCTGATTACATCTTATCACTCCTTAACTAAAAATCTCATTTGCATTATTGGCTGCACATACAGGTAATACATTTATACAGGGTACACACATTCTACAACAGATATCACTATTACATCCAGTTCTTCTCATGAGAAAAAAACACCTATCGACACCAACTGGTCATTGTTAATTTCTTTAATAAATATTAAGGCTTCAATTGGAACTAAATCTAAAAAATAAAAAAAAATAACAGTATGGATAAAAAGGTCATAACCTATTTCCTAGAAGTATCACAGACACTGCATGACACTTTCATACCCATCTCAATGCAATTTTACATGATTTTATTGCCATTTTGTGTAGCCAGAAAGCACTATTGAACCTTCACTTCATTGCTAAGTAATTAATTTTCATTTTACAAATAAAAGTCTGTTAGGACTCAGTAGGAGCACATGAAAAATACAGAATGAATAAAATGCAAAAAAAGGTGGAAGTCATAATGAAAATCAGTCACATCATATACTAAATACAATTCTAGCAAGACTTAAAGGGGCAAATGTTATGTATCACTAACGGAAACCCTTAGCAACATAGGCACAACTTTCTCTTTATTTCAAGTTCCCATTTAAAATGAAATAAGAAAAGCTTTTTATCCTGGCAGTAAATAAAGTTACTTGGATATCTAGTTTCCAAATAAAGTCCTTCCTGTGCATAACTTGCTATATATTCACAAACTCAAGAATGAAGCATACCATTACAACTAGAAATGATATAGAAGTTACACATAAATAGATACAATCATTGTTTCACTGTAACACTTGACTATGCCATCAGATCTAGAACATATAGAATATAACTGCAGACTAGCCTTTATGCATTATTCATATCAAACTTGTGTGATATACTTTAAAACAACTATTTGTAGTACATGTATACAATATAACTGCTTTAGGAAAAATAAAGAGGAAAATCACATCAGAATTATGAAAACAATAATAGTAAAAGAAGGATCACACATGCACATGCAAACAGACAAAACACACACACACACACACACACACACACACACACACACACACACACACACACACACACACACACACACACACACACACACACACACACACACACACACACACACACACACACACACACACACACACACACACACACACACACACACACACACACACACACACACACACACACACACACACACACACACACACACACACACACACACACACTGAATCTCACTTATACCCTTACACAAATATACATTAGGATGCTGATGTGATAAACACACACACATATATATGTGTACAGTATGTATACAAACACCAACATATAAACACACACGTGATATGTATGCATATATATGTGTATAGCCTACTTGTATAATCATATATACATGTATGTACCAAGCAATGTGAATATGCAGTAGTTTAACATGAGTGAAAATGAACTTGAAACAAAATAAAAGAAGTAACTCTGATAAAGCCTATTTCCTTAAGTCACATGGACCTCTCTGATACATCAAAATCATCTAGGATCATCATATCTCCCTTTTCAGCAACAGCATACATATACCATTTTTTCCTCCCCTCTTTCACTTAGTAATGCACTCACATTGGACTCTACAAACTTTCACAAAACTTGCGTAATTGTGCAGCACATCTTGTTCTTATATTATTTGTTGGAATGAAAAAAATAAACTTTCCACAACCACAAGTGCATACACATTTGGTCCGCATTCACATTTCAAAATATAAAAATGATGCATTCATTAAAATATAAGAAGGAAATACTGAAACCTGAAGCATGTGAATGAATTCCAAGTATATATCAAAAATATAACTAACTTCTGACACCCATTCCATGCTCATTGCTACTTTCGTCAATATAATAATAACCAGGAAGAAACAAGAGGACAAATGGAAAGAAAAATTTGTATTTTTCATACTAAAGAGACATCTTTGCAATCCTTTCATGAACTGACCTCCTAGAGAGGTTAATCATGACCTTTGGTATATCTATATGACAGTGATAGCAACCTCATTGCAACATTTGCTTCAGGAATTACTTTTC